TATATATATATATATATATATATATGGAGAGAGAGAAAGAGAGAGAGAGAGAGAGGTATCATTCTTTTGGGTAGTAAGCCGGGATTCAGATCTTGAACGTTAGTGTTGACTGTGTTGTGGCCTTGATCCCTCTTGATTCCTAGCAAGGAGGGTCTAATCTCATGCATGCATAAGCTATTGACAGAAAGAACCCTTAAGGGGCTCGCGTACATGCATGCATGTGTATGCGTGCGACTGCATGTGTGTGTGTGTTTTGAGACAAGAAGCTCATATGGGGTTCAAAACTTCAAACTACTTGTAATATGCATGTGGATGGATATGTACGCTTTTATGCAATGCATGGATACGGTTGTAGGTATGACGGGAATAGGTGCATCCTTGCTGAATGTGTCTTCGTTGGAGAAGAGAGAGAGAGAGAGAGAGAGAGTGAGTGAGAGAGAGGGGCTGTAGGTATGATGGAGTAGGTTCATCTTTGCTGTTTGTCTTTGTTGAAGAGAGAGAGAGAGAGGGGGTATGTGTACTTATGCATACGTGAGATAGAGGTATGTATATGTACCTATGCGTATGTTATCTTCAGTTTATGCGTTTGAGGCTTATGGATTTGAAGCCTCACAATGCATATATGCATCTGTATGGGATCTTAAGCATGTGCTTATCATGTGTAGGTATGTTGGGGCCTCGGCTACATCGTTGCTTCTCTTTTCTTCGCAGTTGTGGAAATGGCAATCGACACCATTATCCTCTCATTTTGCCAGGATGCAGAGGAGCATCAAGGAAATGCCCAGTATGCTCCACCACTGCTCATTGAAACCCTAAATAACCAAAGTGAAATGCAAAGACTCACACAATGACCCTTTATTTCTATAAAGACCACTACCCATTTTGCATCTGCTTTACTGGAGGGTTTGAGTTTCAGTAAAGAGCTCTCAAGCTATGGCTTCTGTCCCCTTTTTTTTTTTTTCACAAAGGCTTCTTTATCTTTATCTCTGTCTGTATCTTTTTCTGTTTGTAAGTGAAGATTGAATAGGGAGGAAATGCAATTCATTTAGGAAAGAGTAGCACACCAGAAGAGATGGTAATCCCTCCTTTGTGCTTTATTTTACCTGTACAGTTGTTTGTTGGAGCCTGATATAACTATGGATTCTGATAGGGCTTTCTCAATGGATTCTCGCTTTATATAAGTGAACTAATAGACCTCTAAAGATGATCTCTAATAGAGCTTTAAAAGTAATCTTCAGAGTTTCTGTCCTTCATTTCCTATACCTATTGGAACAAGATTCAGTTTGGTTTTTTGTGATATTTAATTGATTGAAATCTCTACAAACATCATATAATAGGCGTTCATAATGTCATATATTTTCTTGGGGTCTAATAAGGGATAGGATCTTAAACTTTCTTTGAACCCATCCCAAGCTTAGGTAAAGAGGTGGGTTGGGTTAGGTAGGCAACCCATGTAAAGCATTGCTACATCTTATTATGAATCATGAATTTATGGTAAAGAAAAATTAAAAGATAAGATTTATGTAGCCAACCCCAAATCATGGGGATCAGGCTTGTCGGATGATAATGAATGTCATATATTTAATTTTTGCACATTCTAGTTATAGATATGCTACTACCATTGGGTGACATTTCATTGATGAAGAGCTTTTCATGTGACTTTGGAGACATCTATTTTGAACAAGGTCATATAATTAATAACTCAACAATAATGTCACATATTAATTATCTATTGATAAATGTAATTAATAATAATTTGTGATGTTATATGCAACTTTCATTTGATTAGATGTTTATGGCTCTCTTGATCTAGTAAATTATATATAGAGATGCATGGGTATCCTTGTCATGAAACTGTTGAGGACAACAAAAAAGGAGATCGATTGTAAGCTATGTATTGATTGGGGACTATTTTTTGTTGTAGCCTTGATTTTAATTTTTACTTGCCAGCTAATTTAGTCATAGATCTTATTTTGGTTGGTTGTTATTTGATAATACTTTTGTTATCCAAGTGCCGAATGGACTTTGGATCTTGGATGTTTTTATTTAGTGTATGGTTTTTATAAGGTTGCAATCTTAAACAATCTAATTAAAATGCATCTCTAAATTTTATAAATGTAATTTTAATATAAAATTTTTTTAAGATGATTTGAAAATCTATTTTCATCTCAAATTATAAAATTTTAAACTCTAAAAATAATTCCAGTCAGGTAGATCTATAAAATCTTGAAAATGGACGGTTAAGATAATGTATTGCAGATATTATTTTGCAGATTTGAATTTTTTATTTTTTTTTATATTCATACATTTTGATGTTGAGATGCTCAATTAGACGGTTTTTGTAACTGTAAAGCAATTTTTTATGATGGATTTTTGAGGTGCGTCTTTAATTCTGTATTTTAAGATTGTAACATTATATAAACTTTTTCCTGTATTATAATGAGCCCTTTTGACATCTCATCTGCAGTTCTCGATATGCGCGCACGTATAAAAAGAGCTGATATTTGAATCAGAAAAAGAATGAACCTCCCTATTCGAAAGAACCCTTGTTCTTCTGGAACCATGTGTCACCAATATTTTTAAGCAATACGTGTTCATATTTTGATCGTTCGATTCAATCAATAAGGGGAGGGAGAAGATGAGGCGTATATAACAAATGAGCAACATATGTAGCAAGAACAGAAATACACCACAATGACACAATATTTTATGTAATAATAAAAAATTACAAAAATTTATGTGATTCCTCAAAGTTGGGTTAATTGTAGATTTTAACCCAGAAATAATATTTTATGTAATAATAAAAAATTACAAAAATTTATGTGACTTCTCAAAGTTGGGTTAATTGTATATTTTAACCCATAAATACTATTAAGGTTTTCAGTTACTGGTTTAAAAAATGGAATTAGTGCCGTGGATCGGGCACTTCAAAAATCCATCCGGATCGATGAATCGGCTATCCAGATCAGGAATCGATCGGATTAAGCCTTAAAAAAAATCCAAAAAAAATTATTAAATTTCATTCCCAATGTTGTTTTTTAGGAATCTAATAAAAAATAAGGATACTACATCATTAACTTTCATTTTTTTCATCAACATGCGAATATTGAGATGTTCTTTCTCTGTATGAACTTATGTTAACTATTAAATTTACATCACACAAAATAAAAACCATAGAATTATCATGGATGAAGTATATAATCTTATTAGACTACAATAAAGAATTGATTAAATCAATAAAAAAATGGCCACCAAAATATCAAATAGATAGAAAACCCCAATTGCTAAAAAAAAAACCCAAATTATTACAACTTAACTAATTATATTAAAAAATTATTACAACCTAACTAACTATAGTATTATATATTGAAATTGAAATTGTTATTTAATAGTTTATTTTATTATACAAATAATAACAAATCTAAAATATCTCATAACATCATCTAATTTAAAATATATTATTAACAACTGGAAGAAAGAATAATACATCATATAATTTATAATGCAAATAAATTAAAATAAATAAATAAAAGATTTGGTTATCAGTTAGTGTTATTTTTCTCTCTTAAAATATCATCTAAACTAATATTTTTTAATATTCAATAAACGAGAATTAGTATTATTTGTTGTTTTTTAATATCCTATGAGCTGGTACTAATTTTTAATCTCAATGAACTACTTAATTAATTGTTAAGCATATAATGAAATAATCTCGTGAGATAATAGCCTAATAGAATTTTTATGTTTTATTTGGATAGATAAATTTAGATATTTTTGGTCAAAGATAGGGGTGATGAGCACCCAATTATTATTTATGATATTTTTCCATTTTTTTATCATATAATTTACTTACACTACCGAGTAGACTCGCCGTTTTGTAAAATTTGAAGAACATTCATATGCTATATAAATTGTCTTTGGCGGCTAGTCTCAGCTCGTTGGCAGTTGGGTGATGTTGTTGCTGCGGAGTTATCGTTGTGAATCTTACAACCCTGGAGTTGTTGCTGCGGAGTAATCGGTTTACTTCTAAACACAAATCCGATCGATCGATCGATCGCCGGCCGTTTACTTGTAGACACAAATCGATATCGATGTCTTCTAATTGACGGATTCCGTGCTGTTCACTGCTAGACACATACTTCTAGTACTTCTAGACACAAATCGTTCACTGCTAGACACATACTTCTAATACTTCTAGACACAAATCGATCACTGCTAGACACATACTTCTAATACTTTTAGACACAAATTGATCGATCGGTATCGACTCCGGTTCACTTCTATTTACTTCTAGACACAAATCGACTCCGGTTCACTTCCAGACACTAGACGCGACTCCGATTCACTTCTAGACACTAGACACGATTGACCGATTGGTTCACTTCTACTTACTTCTAGACACAAATCGACTCCAGTTCACTTCTACACACTAGACATGACTCCGGTTCACTTCTCGACACAACTCCGGTCCACTTCTAGACACAACTCCGGTCCACTTCTAGACACAAACTAGATACAAACCGACACAAACTAGACACAAATCGACTCTAAGTCACTTCTAGACACAACTCCGGTTCACTTCTAGACACATATCGACTCTCGACACATACTTCTAGACACAAATCGACTCCGGTTCACTTCTAGACAGACACTAGACACGAATTGACTGATTTCGTGCTGACTTCGGTTCACTTCTAGACACAAATCCGACCGACTCACACTTCTAGACACGAATTAACACAAATCAGCCCCAATTCCGTGCCGACTCCGGTTCACTTCTAGACACAAATCGACCGATTCGCTTCTAGACACGAATTGACTGATTCCATGCTGACTCTGGTTCACTTCTAAACACAAATCAACTGATTCCGACTCGGCGATTTTTCGACCACTGGTTACAAGAGATTGTCTTAGTCGGCGATTTTTCAACCACTGGTTACAAGAGTAGACATGAATCGAGTCTTCTAGACATGAATCGACGGATTGTCTTCTAGACATGAATCGAGTCTGCTAGACATGAATCCACGGAGATTGTCTTAGTCGGTGATTTTTCAACCATTGGTTGCAAGAGATTGTCTTCTAGACATGAATCGAGTCTTCTAGACATGAATCAACCTATTCCGTGTCGACCAAGAGATTATCTTCTAGACATGAATCGAGTCGACCAAGAGATTGTCTTCTAAACATGAATCGAGTCTTCTAAACAATAATTGACCTATTTCGTATCGACTCGGTGATTTTTCAACCATTGGTTATAAGAGATACCTAAAAATAAGTAAATTTAAAAAATTAGAAATAATAATTCTAATAAAAAAACATTCAAACAGTTAGTTTTCATTGTTTTTTGATGGAATGGATGGTTTGTACTTTTTAAACCGCATATGTAGGTAGTCACAATTTTGCATGTCAAAATCCTCACTGAATTTCTCTTCTATTTTAATCAATCTCCCCCGACTAAATAACGCTATCGATCAATATCCCACTTTACATAACTATTTGAAAAGACCGCGTTTTTTCTTTTTTATTACGTGAAAAAGAATCTCTCTTGACATAACAACGCAACCAATCAATCTGGGTGGCATGAATGATGAAGTGAAAAACTTGAGTATAGTTAGCGAGTCTCCAATTAGAACTACTTTTTGAAAAATATCTGTTTTTTTATTAAATTCCTCAAGAACTCTGAGTTTTTTTAATGGAATTGATATAAATCTGCATTTTATCTTTTTTTCGAAAAAAAATGTTTTAAAAAAAGTTTCTCCTAGGATTAATTTTAAGAGTCTTGATTTAACAAAAATTTCCATCAAAATTGTTCACCAACAAATTCTCTTAAAAATTGTGTTAAAAAAATAAGAGTGGATTCCTAGTAAAAATACTCTCTCTCAAAACAATTGTATATCTTCAAATCATATGTAGAGTTATAGAAAAATTAACCTAATGAGATAATTTTTCTCTAAACCAAGAGCATCGAGGTTCAATCACAACCAAAGATTTAGGCATTTGGTAAAGGATATGAATTAAATATTTGGATTTGCATGCTCATATTGTTTAGTACAAGTAACCATCATCTCGCTTTTCTTTACTTTTCTTTTCTTTTTTGTATACAGAAGTTTGATTGAGTTATCATTTTTTTTTATTTTTTATTTTACTGGAGCATACAATGCAACTATTTCGAGGAACCATTCTTTCACATTTTTGCATTTTTGTTAAATGATGAGAGCCGTTGTAATCTTTTCCCCTCCTAAAACAGTCCCGGTTATTTGCTAGAGTAATTTTTATGTTTAGTATTGTTGGTGTTGCTTCATTGTATGCTTCCAATTAATTCGTTGCATGATTTGTGTGCTGCAGTAGAGCAAGAATCGTTGTTGCATTTTGTAAAAATTTAGACAAAGACTTATCAAGTATTACCTTCAATGATACCACATTACAATATAAAAGTACTTTTCAATGGCTTTAATATGTCCAAACAATAATTGCAATTCAAAATTTATCTTATGTCATCACATTTCTTATGTTTTCATTGTCAAATCCGAAATATACCTAACCTTTGGCAATAAGTATTTTCACCCCAATTTTTTACCTCCAACTTTTTGGAAGAAACCCCCCCCCACCCGACTTGCTAACTATGAACTGGACAAACTTAACACTCGTATAAAACTACGTTTCTGTGAAGTCATGCTTCTCATTACAAGTCTCTACCAAAACTACCCTTTCCTATAAACTATAGTAGGGTTAAGGGTGGTGACCGGTCCGGTCGGGTCGGGTTCGGTCGGGCCGGCTAGACTTGGACCCAGATCCAATCCAAAAACTAAAATATCTATATATTCATAAAGTGAGAAATGTCAGACCCAAACCCGAACCTGGCTGGACACGGATATGAATAGTGTCCAGTTCTAACTTTTGGACCCATACTAGGACTCAGGTCAGGTCTGCGTCCATTGCCACCCCCAGGTAGGGTGAGCCCAAAATATATAGGTGTTTTATCTCTTTGATTCCTTAGTACGGAGATTATTATTGCTCCCCAAGAGACCTCGTTGTTTGTGGCTTAAAAAGTATGCCACCTCCAATTTTGTAGGAAAACATAAAGATCAACATCAAACTTTAACAAATGAGATCCAAAAGAGCATTGGAGAGATGCAAATTTCTATCTCCTTTTTTAACCATTACATTGTTAAGTACCACAAGTTATAGTATTTAATTTTCCTATAAAAAGACCATTTATCTTTTATATACATAGGTCACAATTATTCTCACTCCTTAAATGTCAAATTAGATGGCCGTGGATGAGTCACAAAATCCTTTTTTTTTTTTTGAACTTTGTGTCTGATGACACTTTTACAACCACCCATTTTGAAATTTAAAAGACAAGAATGATTGTGACCTGAGTACAAAAGATAAATAGTCTCTTTGATCACAATCCTTTTGCTCTTACTCCCTCGTGGAAAACAGAAAAACAACTTGTTTCTTAAATTGAAAATCTTCTCTTTACTTGCCACTTCACTCTGATTGTTTCTCTTATTTATAGTTTTGCTTCCTATTATCAAATGTTATATAGTCAACAAAAGAAGCAGTTCAAAGCCAACAAAGATTAATATAAAAACTTCACTTACACCTCAATTTTGGTTTTGTTTAAATCACCATCTTTTCCTGGCCAAGTGTTCTTTCTTTTTTGAGTGTGGCTAATTGTTTAGCTCAATCATCATCACTCCCAGGCTTTGCAAAGCTGAGTTTTTTGGGGTCAACGTCTTCTATGTGAACCATGATTGTTGCATCTTCACCTTGTCTCCATTTGATGGATTCTTTATCCAGCAATTTGGTCACCTACAAAATTATGTCAAGAAATCAAATAATCAATAATTTTTTGCAGCATGCATGCACAGACGAACGCACACACAGGGAAATATGTTTGTGAGTTGCCATCTTACGGAATGTATAGCCAAACAGTGAGTGTATTGTCACCTTTTTATTTTTAATATTCCTTTATAAATCTTCTGACCTCAAATTTTGGGGGAGGGAGACGCTAAACCCAGGCCCAGGCGCACAAGGGGACCTCAACCAATGTCATTTGACCTCACATAATCCTAGGAAATATATTTTTTTGACAATAAATTTACTTTTCAAAATAATAGTGAATAGTGGTTGTTAAGATGATGGTTCACATGACATGAGGAAAAAGTTATATAAGGTCACAACCTTATACTATAGAAGTAAAGTGCAACCTCAAAAATCTAGTAGATAAGAATGTTCTCAAGTTGGAAAACCTCCCAATTAATCATCTCGCCCTTGAGATATATGAACTTTAAGAAAAAAATAATTTCAAATCCTAAAAATTGTGCATCTTGTAACAAGTTATTCGGACTGTTTATTTTCAAGATTTTATCTACTCGATCTACACTACTTTTGAAATTTTAAATTTCACAATTAGGATTGAATATGGATTTTCAAGCCAATGCAAAGTTTTCAACACTAGAACTACGACTTACATCAAAATTTAGAAGTATGCCTTACTTGTATAGTATATAGTGCACACTTTATACAAACATTACTCATATATATATATATATATATATATATATATAGAGAGAGAGAGAGAGAGAGAGAGTAG